GGGAAATCTTCACATGCTTGGGGTAGACATCCCCCTAACTCACTGATGGGTTTGAGACCCCTAAGTTACCCTCAACCTGGTTTAGCCTGCCTGCTGCGATGGTTTACTGGAGTGGGGCCACTGCACATGCTACAGCTTCTTAGAACCACAAGGGAGAGTTGGTGGATTAGGTAGACACCAAAGGTGGAAAGCAGCCCTGAGGGGGAGACATCTTTCCCTTCACTGTCTAGGCAGGGGCTGGCCTACAAGGATTTATAGAGGGTGAGGTCCCAAAGGAGTTACAAAGTCCTTGGCACTGTCCTCAGGGGAGAAAGTCCAACCAGAAGAGGAGGGTAGCAGGTAGAGTAAGGCTTGGAAACAAAGATGACCTGAACTTGAAGACTACTTTCCACCTTCTTTTATTCATTCTCTTCTGTCCCCCTTCTCTCACTCATCCTTCTATAGATACCAAAGAGGCAGGAAGGGGTTTCATATCCTAGGGAGGAAACCAGTCAGTGTCTCATGGCTTCTGAATCAGAGCTCTCCCTCCCACTGAGGTTCTGGGCAAGGTCTGAAAATTGGGCAACTGTGACCCATTGATAAAGCAGGTAAAGCCCTGGCGCCCCAGGGCACTTTGGATATGAGAGGGAGCCTGGACAAGGAGCAGGGGCCAGGAGCTGGCTCAGGAGCCAGGCCTGGGTGGGAAGCATGCTCTTGGTATCCCTGGAGGATGCTCACCAAGAGGTCAGAAAGCAAAAATGGGACCCAACAGAAAGGACATCCAAGCAAAAGTAGGGTGCTGGGCAGAGCCGTGGCTCAGACCTCCTTGGCTTGCTTCTGGGAGGAAGGGGGATCTCAGGTGCAAGGGCTCAGGCTTCCAGCTAGTCTGCTCTGGGCAGCTCCTCCCTGACCCTAGAGCCCCACTTTGCCCCGCCCTTTGGGCCCCAGGGGCCTCGAATTCTTCCAAGAGCACAGAGTCAAAACCTGAGGACCCTGCCTGCCCTTCATCACCTAGAATGCCATGGTCTTCCACCCTGGCCTCCTCACAAGCATCCAAACTCCACCTGGAGACCCAAATCCCACCCTGTCAGGCTAATTAGCCCTAAGAGCTCCACCTCTCCTGTTCTCCTGTTCAGTAAGAGAGAGATCTCTTCCTGCCTCCCTACTGCAGTTCTGGGACTCAATATATGAGGGCTGACAGGCTAGGAGGTGTTCAAAAGTCCTGACAACCATAAATGATACATGAAAACATATTCTAAAACACCGGTAATAACAGAAAGTCACATTAAAATAATTTTGCATTTCTTCTCATGCCTTCAAATCAGTGAAAATGGCAAAAAGGAAACTATCACTATTATATTTAATTTTGAATTTCACAAACATGAAATAAAATGAGCCTTTTAATTTTCATTTATTTTTTCAATATTTGAATGCTATTTATTCTTTACCATTCAGAAAATTTGATAACAGCAGTTGTCAGCAAATGATTATGATGTATGTAGATTCACTGAACAATATTTTGTAAGTATTCCATTGTTCCCTCACTTAATCTGGGCATCTTTGCTATTCTATGCCTAGCTCGGAGATCAGCCAGATTTTCTTTTTCTTAAAATTTTTGCTTTTTGGTGAAGGCAAACCAATTTCCAATGACCTTTATTAAACATCTGTTAGACCTAGAAAAAGTCAAGGAAAGGGAGATGTGTAAGGTTGAATATGTAGCACATGGATTCAAGAGTTGAGATAAAATATATGTTCTTTGGTTAGCAAAGTGGAAAAAAGGGGGCAAGTATAGCCTACACGGTACACAAGAATGTCAAAGGTGCATTCTTCCCCCATAGCCCTGATGGAAGGGCTATTATTCTTTTCTTTCTTTTTTATTTTTGTTTTTGTTCTGGCAAGGCAATTGGGGTTAAGTGCCTTGCCTAGGGTCACACAGCTAGTAAGTGTTAAGTGTCTGGTCTGAGACCAGATTTGAACTCAGGTCTTCCTGATTCCAGGGCTGGTGCTCTATCCACTGGAAGGGCTATTATCACAAAGAAAGACAGCAGTGGTGGATAGGACAGCTAGGTGGCGCCATAATGCATACAGCACCAGGTCAGGAGTCAGGAAAATCTGAGTTTAAATCAGGCCTCAGAACCTACTGTCTGTGTGACCCTGGGCTAAAGAGTTAACCCCTATTTGCCTCAGTTCTTCATCTGTAAACTGGGGACACAACGGAGAAGTTGTGGCAAACCACTCCACTATGTTGCCAAGAAAACCTCAAAGAGGGTCACAAAGAATCAGATAACAGTAGAGGACGCCAAGCACTTTGAGGTCTAGATGTAAGCAGGTTACCCTTGGGACAGGCCAGTCAAGCTCCTGCAGCAGAACAGAACCAGTCACCATTTCTCACTCTTTATGACGAGCTGGGGTGTAGAGCCTTCCTTCAGCTGCACTGGGACAGTTTCAGCTACACAGATATGTAAGGTATCTGGTCCAGGAAGGCGTTTGGCCACGTTGGCTTACCTTTACAATCTTCTCAAGGGACAGCAGAATTCAGTGGGGAAGTGGGGATTGTCGCTGATATTTCATTCGTTCCTGTCAGCATCCCTTGCTTTCTTCTAAAGCCTTTCTCTGATGTGGACACAGGTAAAAGAAGCTCTCCAACAGGTGGCTGGACATTAACACTGACGCCATCATCCTTTGTACACAACTGGGATGGGGCAGTCTGAGTGGAATCACAAAAGTCAACACTCATTTGGGACAGTAATGGAGCCCCTAAGTTCAAGAGATGCTGTCAGGCTCATGCATCTGCGTGCCTGAAGTCAGCTTTATATCACAGAAGTGGATATTATCAATCTTCTTATTGGTGGCATTACTTAATGGAAATGGAACAGAAAAGGGAGATGCACATGAAACAAGTTCTACTGCATAGAGCTGGATTTTCTTTTTGAGCAATTAAAAAACTCAACATGGAATTTTAAAGCTGTCCTCATTCCTTCCAGCCTTCCTCCTGTTCTATTGCATGTATTTTTTAAAAATCCATTCGTTTCCTTCTTTTCTTTTTTTGAGGGTAGAGGGATGACAATCCTCTTCCTACTGCTATCCTCTCCTACCCAAAACGGAAAAAAGAAAAACAATCAAAATAAAATATTTATAACCAACACACCCAGTCAAGCAAAATAAGTTCCCACACTGTCCATTTCTCACAATGTACTTTTTATTCTACATCTGCTATCCATCTCCTCACGCTCAAGATACAGGTAGGTAGCACAGACCTTTCGAAGTTCTTGGTATAGTGGTTGACCATTAGAGTTGTGTGTGACATTGTTCAAAATTGCTGGCCTTTGCAACGAGGTTAGTTATCATTCAGTCCCCTGATTCTACTCACTGCACACTGTTTGTGTATGGCTCATTCCCAATTTCACTTAAATTATCTGTTTCATGGCATATTTTGTTCCATTCTATTCATAAACCAAAATTTATCAGCCATTGCGCTATTGTAGGACGTCATACCCTAGTTTCCAGTTCTTTGTCATAACAAAAGGAGTTGTTATAAATAGTTTTGTATGCTTGGATCCTTTCCTTCTGTCTTTAAGGCAATATGTCCATTGGTGGTACCACTGAGTCAAAAGGTAGACACAATTTAGTGACTTTGGCGGCGCCACAGCTTTACCAACAGCTAATGTGCCTGCTTTCCCATGGCTCTTTCAACACTGGTTATTTCCTTCTCTTCTCATCTTTGCCGATTGCATGCATACAAGATGGAACATGATTCCTGATTTAATTACATTTGGCTAATTGTTAGTGATTTGGAACATTTTTTTCCTCAATCTTATTTTTTTTTAATTTAAATTTTATTTTATTAATTTTTTTTTTTAGGCAACCAGGGTTTAGTGACCTGACCACAGTCACACAGCTAGTAGGTGTCAAGTGTTTGGTCTGAGGCCGGATTCGTACTCAGCTCCTCCTGACTCCAAGGCCGCTGCTCTATCCACTGCGTCGCCTAGCTGCCCCCTAAATTTTATTTTTAAATGAACAGTTACACACACGTTAGTGATTTGGAACATTTGAACACTTCAGATCCTTTCAGCCCTCACGTGTTGGCAATGACTCCTAATCTACATTGATGTCAGTGCTCTCCAGCTCTTGAACATAAATGACTTGAATTGGTCATTTTCCAAGTAACATTTAACATATTCTCCACTCTCTAATTTCTCTCCTTATTGGAGCTTCTTTATTGTTTTAAAACATTTAAATTTTCTGTAGTTAGAATGATCTGTTTTTTAAAATATCTATATGGTGGATTATGAATTCTCCTAGCTATAGCTGTAAAAAGTACCTGAGTTTTCTTAGGCTCATTTTTAAAAAACATTTTTTTCAACCAGCAAAAAATTCCACCTCCCCCTCCAACCTCCAACCCCAGTTTACAAACCTAATACCAATGACAACATTGCAGGACAGTCTGCTGAGAAGACGTCCAGAGCCCCGAGCCGGCTGGGGAGGCGGGGCTTGGGGCGGGGCTATGGATGACGCGCAGGATGGGGAGGGGCCTGGGGTGGGGTGGAGCTTGGGTGCGCGAGGGGCGCGGGCTGGGGGCGGGGCTATGAGGTGACGCGCCGGATGGGGAGGGGCCTGGGGGGGGTGGAGCTTGGGTGGTGCGGGGGGCGCGGGCTGGGGGCGGGGCTCTGAGGTGACGCGGAGGGGCCTGGGGGGTGGAGCTTGGGTGGTGCGAGAGCGCGGACTGGGGGCGGGGCTCTGAGGTGACGCGCCGGATGGGAAGGGGCGTGAGGGTGGAGCTTGGGTGGCGCGAGGCGGCCCAGGGCTGGGGGCGGGGCTTCTGGCCGAGGAGGGCGGGGGCGCGGGTCGTGACCCTGAGTGCCACATTGTAGCCATTGGAGGCCTGGCAGGCTCCCGGGGCCTCGGGGGCGGGGCGGAGCCGCAGACCGGGTGGAAGCCGGAGCCCCGGAGGCTGAGATTCGTGCACGTGAAAGACCCCGGGGGTCCGAGCCCCTCCCCGCCCGGCCCCGCCTCCGCCGGCGGCCTCCTTCCCTCGGAGCTCTGGGTGAGTGCCTTCCCTCCCTGGCCAGGCTCCCCATCACCACCCCCCTCCCCGACCAGGGGTCCCACGGCCCGACCTCCAGGCCTTGCTCGGACCCGGAGTCTGTGTCCTCCGTGGGGGACGGGAAGCCCCTTCCTGCCTCGGGGGTGTCTGTGGGGCGATGGGAGAGGGGAGGGGGCAAGAGAGAAGGAATAAGGGGGTGGAGAGTGGTCCCCGTGCCCGCCCTGCTGCCCCCTCTTCTGCTGGGGAGGGCAGTGCCAGGGGCTTGGGGGCCCCTCGGGGGTCTCACCCTCCGTAAATCCTTGTAGGCCAGCCCCCTGCCTGGGGGTGAAGGCGGGGACGTCTCCCCCGGATCCTTCTGCCTCCCCTGAAGAGGACCAAGAGCTGGCCCAGGCAGGGAGGCCGAGGGGATGGCCCCCGGACCCCCGAGATCCCCATGGCAGGTGAGTGCGGGGCAGCCCCAGGGTCGACACCATCAGCAAGGCTGGGCATTTCCTTAGATATAGACGGTTGTCTTGAAGTTGCCAGTCCCTCTTACCTAATTATTGTTTCTTTAAAAAAAATATTTCTGAAATAGAAGGCAGTAGTATCAACACTGCCCTGCCCTCCTCCGGGCTTTGGACTGCTTCATGAGCTCTTGAGTCTCTAGCGGTAACTTCCCCGCAACTTGCTGCCCTCCTGGTTTTGACAGTTCACACAAGCCTTCCCAGGGCTCTCTGAATCCCCCCATTTGCCATTTCTTAGCTCAAGTCAATAAGCCTTTAGAAAGTGGCTCCTTTGTGCCAGGCCCTGTACAAACCTCCTGTGGACACAAAGGAAGGAGGAATCACCCTGCCTTCAAGGAGCTCACAGTCTAATGTGGGAGACAGCATTTAGGCATCTGTGTCCATAAAAGCTAGAGACAGAGTAGGGGGAGGGGAAGGATCCAGCAGTTTCAGGGACCAGGAAAGGGTTTTTTTAGAAGGTGAGATTTGAGCTGAGACCCGAAGGAAGCCAGTGGGTGGAGGTGAGGAGAGAGAACACTCCAAGCATGAGAGACGGCCATTGGAAAGGCCCAGACTCAGGACATGCAGGGTCTTAACCAAGTATAAGCCAGGAGATCAGTGTGAGTGGGTGAGAGGAGGTGGAGGGAGTGAGGTGTAAGCAGAGGGGAAGGTGGGTGGGCCTGGTCAGATGGAGCCTTGTGTATTCTAAAAATAATATCTTGTTCCTCTTGCAAGCATTGTCAGGGGCCTTGCTGGCCACAATCGGCTAAGGCAGCGCAGGGTGTAGCCAGCCAGGTGCACTGCCCTCTTGTAGCCGCTCTGGACCCTAACAAAATAGGTCTGGATAGGATCTGGTAGGTCACTTAGGTGGGCGAAAGGTAGAGAAAAAGGACTTTACTTTAAAAAGAAAAGAGGATTCTTAAGCTGTTAAGAGGTTTCTAGCATAACTATTAGAACCTGACCCAAGAAAACAATTAGCATTTCTAAATGCTACTCCTTGCCTTTTTTGACCCGATTAAAAGTAGAGAGCAATATGCCTAGAATTCTGCCCTGTCCCCGGAATTATTCCTTTGTAGTGAGAGAAGAGAAGTACTGAGGGAGAAGTTCCTTACCTGTGTAAGAGGCGGGCTTTAAGTCTAAGGGTTGTAATAACAGGAAATATTCAGTCAGTTATTTTTCCCCTAAATCCCGTTTGCACATTCTTCACAATTCTCTTATTACTTTTATTTCACCATTGAGGAAACTGAGGCACACTATGCTTAAGTGACTTATCTAGGATCACACAGCTAGTACATTTCTGAGGTCAAATTTGAACTCAGATCTTCCTGCCTCCAGATTCAAGATTCTGTCCACTAAGTCACCAGATTCTTTTAACTGTGGATAATTTTGTCCATACTCTTCTATATCTGCTCCCCCCCAAAAATAGAAAGTCATTGAAGCATTTTTTAAAATAGCCAGAAGGGAAGAGAAGGAGTTACAGAAAGATGAACAGCTCTGAAAAGAACATTTCAAAATTATCCTCTTCTTTTCAAAGCCACTGGGGCTGAGGTTGCCATTTGATCCTAAAAGCAGTAGGAAGCCTTTGAAATTGGGAGAGTGGTCACCTGGTCAAATTCATAATTGAGGAGTATTACTTTGACTCTAGTGTGGAAGGTGAAGCCCAGAGGCACTCAGAGTACTGCCTTCCTATGGTGAGGGTTCATGCTATGAATAGATAGCAGGCAAGGAAGAATTGTGACTCGACCCTAGTGAAAAGGAAAGGTTTGCCAATTCTTGGGAATCTCAAAAAGTGGGGAAAGAGCAGTAAATACCTTAGTTACTCAGAAGTTAAGTAATTTAGAAGTAAAGGAAGTTAAGAGAGAAATACGGATTTCAAAAGAGTCTACCTCAGACTTGTTAAGAAATCAAAATGATGAAAGTGAAAAGACAATGTTATCCACAGGATCGAGAAATGTTCCTAAGTAATAGAGCCTCTGAAAAAGCAAGTCATAGCACGAACGGTAATGGCAGATAATGAAATAAGAGAGCATCAGAGCAGAAGGCATTGGCCAAACACGAGCTCTATATGTTTGGAAAAATCGATGATCCCTCTCATATATCAAGGCATTTTCACATCTGGACAATTTCTTTCATTTCATTCATTAGTCTACCTCTTAACTCATTATCCTGACTCTTGATCTCCAATGTCCTGGACTTTTAGCAGTGTGTTTTACTTATTTCTCATTAATGTCACATTGTCTGTCTCATGAATTAGCCCAGTTTCCTACCCTACATAATGAAGTAATTACATTTTTAATAAGTGAAGGAACCCTCTTTCCTCATCATATTCTTATTTCTATATAATGAAATATGAAAATGAATATATGCCATTAAGAAGTGAAAGCAATCAGTATAAAACAGACATAAGATGTTTTTGGCTTTGACAAGTCTTGGTCACCTCAAGCCCTTGATATAACCATAAATAACCCTTCACTTGACTCCTTACAATCTCATACTACTCAGTACAATCCAACAGTCCAGATTGTTATTTCTCTCTCTCTCTCTCTCTCTCTCTCTCTCTCTCTCTCTCTCTCTCGCTCTCGCTCTCGCTCTCGCTCTCGCTCTCCCTCTCCCTCCCTCCCTCTCTCTCTCTCCCTCTCCCCCCCCTTTCTCTTTCTCTCTCTTTCTTAAGAGTCCCCTTTATGTTTTCATGTAGATAAGACCTTATTTCAGATTTTTAGGAAATTAGATAGATTATTCCTTCTTCTTTGCTTTTTCTTCAGCGATTATAGGTAGTGTCCTTACCCCCAGAATACATAGTACTTGCCAGCTTCTCACAACTCTTCATAAAATTTTTTTAACATATCATTGTGAGAGTTCTGATGACAAAGGAATTTCACATCACCTCTCTTTGTCCTTTACAGATTCTCATACCTCAGTGATACAGCATACGTTCTCCCTGATTCCATAGGGAGAAACATTTAATATAGGAAGATGAAGATATTTGTCAGCTTTATTCCAACTGGAATATAAAATGCTTTGTCTCAGTTATTCCATTAACGACTATGGTTTTAAATGTTGGCTCTGGCATTCGTAAGTCATGTGAGTGTTAGGAAACCCCTTCTCTGTGCTTCAGTTTCCTTCTGTACATTGATGAGGGTGGGGCTCGGTGAATTCTGAAGTCTCCTTCAGCTCTAAGTCTTGTGAATTTTGATGGTTAGGAGTCACTGACATTCAAGGATGTGGCTGTGGACTTCACCCAGGAGGAGTGGGGCCTCTTGGACCATTCCCAGAAAGAGCTCTACAAGGAGGTGATGCTGGAGAACTCCCAGAACCTGCTCTCCCTGGGTAAGCATAACTCCCCCGGGAACTCGGAATCTGCCATCAAAGGAGTGTCTTTCTTCCCTGGTGTGCAGGGTCTTTTGAACGTTTGTAAGTTATTAGGAACACAAAAGTGGTGGTCTCTCAACAGGGTCCTCCTGCTTTCTGGTTTTCCTGATTAACAAGTCTTTTCATTTTGTGCTAGGAAGCTGGGACTGTGTTGCTCCTGAAGCTGTGTCTTTCCCGTTTTAGGTATCTTCAGGTTACAAAACCAAAAAAAGTGCTTTGTAGATTCTCAGCCTTGGAACTCATCTCAGAGGTTATCCAGCCTCGCCTTTACCTGGTCTAGAATTTTTGTCTGCACAATCTCGGAAAACTGCTCGTGCAGGTTTTCTTTCGAGATGGACAGTGAAGGGAACCCCCTCCCCAACGAGGCCGCTGACTGCTTCCTCTTTGGGATGCATCTAGTCTTTAAAATGGCCACTAGGTGGCAGAGAGCTCAGAGTGCCAGGCCTTGAGTCAGGAAGGCTCATCTTTGTGAGTTCATGTCTGGCCTCCAGCATTCGCTTCCTGGCCGTGTGGCCCTGGGCAAGTCACTTCACCCTGTTTGCCTTAGTTTCCTCATCTGTAAAATGAGCTGGAGTAAGAAATGGCCAAACGCTCCAGTGTCTTTGCCAAGAAAACCCTAAATGGGGCCGTGAAGAATCGGACACAACTGGACAGCAAAAAAGTCTTTAAAAGTTCTCATTAACACGCATAATTTGTAGCTTCTGACAACCAGACCTGCATCGTATAGCACGTTAATCTTTGTTCTTACTTTGTTCTTTCTTCAAATTCCAGTGCAGATGGTGGGAAAGAAATTTTCTACAGACCTACTATGTGCCAGGTTCTCTGTTAGGTACTTTATAAATATTATTTCATCTGATCCGCACAATACCCCGTGAGTTTGGCCCTGTGATGATCCCCATCTTAAGGCAAACAGAGGCGAAGTGACTTGCCCAGGGCCACACAGCTCCTCGTTGTCTGAGCTGGATTTGAACCTCAGTCTTTCTGACTCCAAGTCCAGGGATCTCGCCACTAAACTCCTGGCTGGCTGTCATTTCTCGACAGTGGAAGCTGTGGAATATAACCGTCCTTCATGGAGGGAGGCAGACAAAGAGAGCATTTTCTAGTTCCAAATTTGGCTGCGTGGACTCCTCCCCGTAACCCCAAGCTCCCAGCAACACAGACCGTGTTCACCATCCGTGAGGAGGCCTGGGAACCCTCCTGTGCTCTTTGCTTCTATGTCCCTTTCCATAAAGAGGAGTAAAGTCTAAGTTTCTCTCCATTCTCCTCCCTTCCCTATTCCCAATGCCAAGGAATTCCACTTCTCAGAGAAGATTTGATCTCCCCGTTGGAGGAAAGGGAAGCATCACGGATCCTGGATCGGAAAGGCCCAAGGAAGTCCTGTCCTGGTAAGTGAGATGAAAGCAAGAATATGCACATTGTTCCCACAAGAAGCATCTGTGTTGTAGTGAAGGGAATGCTGGATTTGGGGCCAGGAAGACGTGACTTGGAATCCTTATTTAGATGCTTTCCAGCAGCACAATCTTGGGAAAGTCACCGAACCTCTGAGCCCCAGTTTCCCCATCGATGGAATTAGGGGGTTGTACATAGTGGCCTTTCATTTCCCTTCTAGTGACAAATCTGTGATTCTGTAAGACATCATCGCTTACAGCTTTGGAGCGTGGAAATCTCCTGAATGCATTCAGAGAGGGCTGAAGCTGTCCTGTATGAGCTCTTTCCTAAACTTTCCAATCAGCAAGCATTTATTAAGTACCTAGTACGTACTAGAAACTCTGCTAAGCGCCATAGGTAGAAAGAAAGGCAGGGGACAATGGCTGCTCTCGGGCATCTCACGATCTAGTGGGGAAGACAATATGCAGACAGTTTTGTGGAGGCCTGCTATGTCCGGGATAAATCAGAGCTAATCAAGAGAGGGAGGGCAGCTAGGTTGTGCAGCAGACAGAGTGCCAGGCTTGGAATCAGAGAGACTAATCTTCCTGAGAGCAAATCTGGCTTCAGACAAAGACTAGCAGTGTGACCCTGGGCAAGTCACTTAACTCTGTTCGCCTCATTTTCCTCATCTGTAAAATGAGCTGGAAAAGGAAATGGCAGACCACTCCAGTATCTGCCAAGAAAACCCCAAGTGGGAAGCGATGGACGTGACTGAACAACAAATCAAGAGAGGGAAGGCAGGAAAATTAAGGAGGCCTGGGAAGGACTTACTGTAGATGGTGGGGTTTTAGAAAGCATGAGGGGCAGCCACGGAAAACACATGGAGCCACGAGATTGAGAAGCCTGTTTAAGGAGCGGAAAAGAAGCCTGTGCCACTGGCCTATCACATGTGGAGGGGGAGTAAAGTGAAAGAAGATGGAAAGGAAGACGCAGCACAAGATGATGAAGGGTTTTGGGACTTCAGCCCCCAGAAGGTTTGGTATTCGATCCTGGGGCAGGACCCACTAGAGCTTATCGAGTAGGTAGTGACGTGTTCGGAAGTGGGCTTTATTTAGGAAAGTGAATGTGACGTCTCGCGGAGGATGAAGTGGATCGGAGAGAGAACTGGGGCAGTGAGGCCGACCCGCAAGCTCTTACAGCGCCAAAGCTGTTCAGAAGTGGGCTTTATTTAGGAAAGTGAATGTGACGTCTTGCGGAGGATGAAGTGGATCGGAGAGAGAACTGGGGCAGTGAGGCCGACCCGCAAGCTCTCACAACGCCAAAGGTGTTCGGAAGTGGGCTTTATTTAGGAAAGTGAATGTGACGTCTCGTGGAGGATGAAGTGGATCGGAGAGAGAATTGGGTCAGTGAGGCCGACCCGCAAGCTCTCACAACGCCAAAGGTGTGTGGTTATCTAAACCTGACCCAGGAAAGCAGCAGCGTTTGGAGAGAAGGGTGAGTATGGGAGAAATGGTCCACTAGTAAAATCTAGAACTTAACGAAAGATTGAAATAGAGGTTGTGAGTGTACGATAGACGATGAGGAATGGATAACATCAGGTTATAAGCTTGGGTGATTGGTAGGGTGGTGCACTGGATAGCAGTAGAGAAATCAGAACTTGGCAGGGTTGGCCAAAATGTAAGGAGTTTACTTTTAAACATGGGGAGGAGGAGAGCCTGGAGAGAGCAGTGTTCCTGAAACCTAGAGAAGAGAGTGTCCAGGAAAATAGGGATGATTGACGGTGTCAGAGGTAGCGGAGAGGTCAGGAACGGTGAGGATTGAGAAAAAGCCATTGGGTTGAGCTGTTTGGAGATGGCTCATAACTTCACAGAGAACTGTTTTAATTGAATGAGGAAGTTGGAGGCCAGACTGCAGAGAGTGAAAAGAAAGGAGTTGAAGACAGCAGTCATCAGTGGCCGTCTGTAGATGGGTTGTGGTCCTTTGTTCTTGAAAAGGACTAAAATGACATTATCATGTTGGGGTCAAAGTGCACCATGTCTCCTGTGGCTGATCAGAGCAATAGGAGCTCAGAAGACTACCACAGGCCGGGCACAAATGGTCCGTGAGAGCGTTTGGAGTGAGGATGTCTTTAAATTGGTGCATCTCACATTCCTTTAGGGCCACTGCTACTCTGCTTTGCTCAAAGAACACAGCACCTTTTTGGAAGCGGGCGCCCCATGCTGGGCAGTCCTGGGCCAGGGTCTCCCACGTCTCATAATCTATTCCAGAGTTCTTCAGAGAGAAGAACTCGGCTTCTTCTGACCTCCGTGTGAGTGTTTCCCTTGTGTGAGTTTTCCGTAAATTAGTCTTACAAAGGTACTTTTGACGTTCAGACGACATGGCCAGCCCATCAGAGTTGTGCTCTCTGCGGTAGAGTTTGAATGCTTGGCAGTTCAGTTCAAGAAAGGACCTCAGTGTCTGGTATTTTATCTGGCCGGGTGATCTTCAGAATCTTCCTAAGACCATTCAAGTGGAAGCGATTCAGTTCCTGGCACGGTGCTGGTAGACCCTTCAGGATTCACAGGTCTACAACAGTGAGGTCAGCATAATGGCTCTGTTGACCTCCAGTTTGGAAGTCAGTCTAATAGGTCTCCTCTCCCACACTTTCCTTCGGAGCCTCCCAAACACTGGACTAGCTCTGGAAATGTGTGTGTCAACATCATCATCCATGTGTGCAAACCTGGAAAGTATAATGCAAGGTAAGTAAACTTAAACACAGCATTCAAAATTTCTCCATGTGCTGTAACCAAGGTTCCACATTTAGATGGTGTGGTGTTGGCTGATGGAGAACCTCTGGGTTTTCTGGTGTTAATTGTTAGGCCAAAATTTGCACAAGCAGCAGAGAATCCATACTTTATGGCATCTCAGCCTTAGAGGCTGCATTAAGTGCACAAATATCTGAACAAAAAACCATGCCCTAACTCTCCCTCCACTTTAGTCTTGGCTCGTAGCCTTTTCAAGTTAAGTGACTTACCACCAGTGCAGTAGCTGACCTCAACACCACTTTCATCCCTGTTGAAAGCGTCTAACAACACAGCAGAAAACATCCTGTTAAAAGCATGGGAACAAGCACATGGCGTTGCTTTACTCCACTGGTGGCTGGGAAAGCACGAGAGTATTGTCTGTTATCCGGAACCCAGCAAGCATGCCTTCGTGAAACTGACTTGCAATAGTGGTGAATTTCTCCAGGCAACCAAATTTTGCCATAACTTTGCACAAGTCATCATGATTGACGATATCAGTGTCCTTTGTTAGATTGACAGGTGTTATATACAGACCTCTGTTCTGCTCCTGGCATTTCTTCTGGAGTTGTCGGGCAGCAAACACCACATCAGCTGTTCCTTGGCCCTTTCTGAAGCCACAGTGGCTTTCAGAGAGATGACCGTATCCCAGAGGATCAGCCTATTGAGAACTCTGGCAAGAATCTTGCCAGCAATGATCAAGAGTCACTGTGATTGTCACAGGATAGCCTAATTCCCTTTCCTTAATAGAGATGGACGATGGAGATATCTTGAACTCCTGGAGGATAAGTTCCTCTTGCCATATAATCCAGAAAATTTCAGTCAGCTTTGGTAGGAGCAGTGGACTCCCTGCCTTGTAAATCTCAGCTGGAATAGAATCAGCACCAGGTGCTTTGCCATATGAGAAGAGCTTAATGGCATTCAGAATCTCCTTCAGTTGGAAATTTGGCTAGAGAAGGATTGACTTCAACCTGAGGTAAACCGTCAGTGGCTTCAGCATCGATTGATGAGGGTCTGTTAAGAACACTACAGAAATGTTTGGCCCATCTCTCCAGGATCATGTTCTTATCACTGATCCGGGTGGCTCCATCAGCACTGCGTAGTTGAGATTCACCATAGGACTTTGGCCCACAAATAACCTTCACAGCATCACAAAAGTACGTTGGATTGTTACTATCAACATAAAACTGATTTTCAGCTACCTCCTTACTGAGCCAAAAATCCTGCTTCTCTCTAAGTTTCACTTGTACTTCACTTTTTTTCTTTTTATAACTGTGTATCATTTTATTGATCTTTTTTTAACCATAAATCATTTGTTTTCTTTTTATATATTTTATTTTTCCCCAATTATATGTTAAAATAATTTTTTAACATTTTAAAAAAAGTTTGGAGTTCCAAATTCTATCCCTCCCTCCTGTCCCCCTTCCTGAGATGGTAAGTAATCCTATATGGTTTATCATGTTGCACTTTTGACGGAGTTAAATGCTGCCTTCGTAGAGATGGATTAACTGTCCTGCTAGTAAACCCTGTGGTGTTCTCATTTTCCATTTAGCAGCTTCTGAATCTCCCTGTCATTTTCATCAAATCAGTCTTGATGTTTGTGAGGAGTCTGGGCCAGATCACTAAATGTGGTCCTGTCCACCAAATCCCTGAAAGCTGTCCGCTCCTCTTCTGTTCCACTGTTACCCGCTGTGTATTGGCTCAGCTTTCCTCCCAGTTACCAAGAGACTGTTGTCACTCAGAGAAATGCTCTGATCTGTTGACATTACATCTTCGGGTAGTTGTCCGGTCTTGGGACTGCTGCTTTTGTTGGATGGGAATGTTTAGCTTGGAAAAGCTAATTCCAGAGTCGGTCCGGCACTCTGAGCCACACCTCACCGTCGTCACTCTCGTATCCTGTCTGTCCCTTCTCCTTACAATGACGTGGTCTATTAAATGCCAGCATTTGCTCCGAGGGTGCATCCACGAAGTTTTATCACATTTAGGTAAGTGGAAGACAGTGCTGGTGATGAGAAGGTCATGAGATGCACAAGTCTTCAGGAGTAAGTGACCACTGCTGCTGCTGTCTCCAGCTCCATTCCTCCCAAGGACTTTGGGGCATGTCTGGTAGTCTGTGCCTACTCTGGTGTTAAAGTTACCCGGAATTATAAGCTTGTCCTCCTTTGACACCTTGATGATGAGAGTCTCCAGGCGTTCATAAAGTTTTTCCTGGACTTCATCAGGATTCTTCATGATAG